CTCATGAGGTACAGCTACTCAGAATGTGCCCATAAATGGCAAATATCCGAGTTATATTCATGCGCAGACACTAATGGAAGCGAGAACAGCGAAATCTGAAAAATGCAAAAAGCCGCGACAAGGGGAGCCGAACCATCAACCCCACCCTCACTGTCCGATTGCGAAACCTCCACTCTATCCACTAGGCCATCCGATGCTCGAGTCTGTTTACATTGCAAGAAGCCGTTCACCCTTGAGCACATGACCCAAGTTGGAAGCTCACTTGCGGCGATTTTTCGCTTCGATTCAAATAGCCCCTTTATAAGGACCCCCACTCAGCAACTGGTCAAAGTTGCAAGTGACCTACGCCGTATAGAGGCCCAGAACGAAGCAGATTCCAAAGATTTCTTTTCACTCGTTTTTTACCTTTCCTGGAAGCGCGCAGCGAAAATGAAGCACACTTTTCAGGTCCTTGCATGAGCCCCTACAATATGCAAAAAACCGTTTTCGAAAAGCGCACCACGCCCTGAACGACCTCCCTTGTTAGAGTGATAGTACATGGGAATCCAATGCTGAGGAACTAGGGTTTCCCAAGGGAACTTGTAATCGATACATGGTGACAAAATTCAAGCTTTTTGTGAAAATGACGCTGTGTTGTATACATCACGACATGAGACTGTTGTCCTTCGTGCAATACCGGTAGCGCGCTGACAGAAAAAGCAATATTGCCCTTCGGCCTGTAATGTCGTAAAGTTAATTTGGCATGCATTCAATGCGATGATGCGTCAGCTGAGTTGGTCGCGTTTGGTATGTCTCTAGATTGTTGTCAGTAAGTTTTTCTTTGGAAAATATACAAATTTCAGATGGGTACTTTCACGTACTACAGCATACTGGGTACGTTCATCTGCACGGGTATTCTTCTTGTATCCACGATTGTGCTGGTGATTGACATTGTGGACGAGATTGATGAATTTCGCGCAGAGGTCGAAGAGGATATCAATCAGTTTAAGGTGAATCGCTGCCGATTTACTCAAGGTTAAAAGCACATTTGTGACCACAATACCATATCAATACCTTATCCTTATCGAAGGCCTGATTTCCCTTTAAGAAGAGAACACTAAACCATAAGATTACCCCAGACACTCTTCCCCCTCCAGTAGTTATTTAAGAAGTGATAATTGATAATTTCGGGATGTGTCGGATTGGCGCATGTTCGAACTTAAAGGCAGTTGGCACGATAAATCCCCTAGGATCAATACTCCTGGCAGGATAGAATTCCGCGACCCTGGGCAGGCGCTGCATAGCGGTTTCCCCGAGGAAGGTGCCCTTATAAGGGCCCTATCAAGCCACAACTTTACGTCCCAAACGCCCGCCACGCCCGCCCGCCCACAAATGGACGACCGTTCCTGACGCTCGTATTCATTCATTTGCTAAGCAAATTATGAAGCGAAGGGATTGGTATGAAGCGGCCGTGATGCTGCATGCATACATGGGTACACATATGCAGCCGTATCTTCGGTAGCGGTGATTGGTAAGATGCCTACGGGAAACTCGTCCGAAATCGATTTACAAGTCACTGAGAACGGAGGCTTTTTCTTCGCAGGATTTTGACCGTTTCACTCCGTTCTTTCGCCATTTCCCCACTACATAGCGCCCTACTAGCATTTTAGGCCGAGTGGGAAACCATTGTGCACCACCTTTAAGTCTCGGCTTATTGTTCGCAGATGTCCTATTTTTTGATGGGCGTACAGCCAAGATTGTTGACACCTTTTTGGATGACATTTCATCCGATGTGACCTTCTTCGGAGCTCGAAAAGTCGTTAAACTAAACATTTGATTCGTCGACAGGAGGGTCTACGTCCCTCGGTGGTAATAGTGCGATTTGAACAGGATGATCCTCGGGGCTACCCTGATTGTACCTATCCCGAGGAGTGACCAAGAGAGATAAACGACTGTCGGTAAATGTCAAGCGCACCTCTCGACCCGTCT